GAAATATCCTTGATAATGACCTGTTCCTGCTGAAGGTTTTCACCTTTGTGAAACTATATTTTTCAGCTTAAAGCTCTTCCACCTAAATATTTTTGAATAACCTCCTCAAACATGCGAGGAGTATCTCACTGAGGACAAGAAGGGCTATGTAATTCAACAGGCTTATAGAAACTTCTGCTGTTGCTCTTTCTTCTCTCTAAATGCACGGAAAAAAGTACATTCCCTACATACTGTTCTGCAGTACTTTTGGTTAGAAAGAATGGAAAACTATTAATGACATGGCAGTGTGCCCAAAACACAGTTTTATATCTTTTCTTTTTTTCTCCTCTATCTTCTAAGGCTTTAAAATCTAATTGTCATTTTATACCTGTGAATCAGAAACATACAGTGAAGGAACAAGTAACTTTAATGCTAGTTGCTCTATGGGAAGTGCTGAAATGAAGTTTCTTACCCCGAAAGAAGGCAAGAGGGCTCAAGGCAGCTCAGTTGCCTCTTCAGGAGCCATCTGTCTTACTGCAACGCATCAAATGCAAGATTTTGAAAGAAATAAATGTTATTGCAGAAGGTGAAAGCCTCCTGCAATCACCACACAAAATAACTACACAATGGAAGAGACCTCAGAAAGTGAAACTCATCATGTTACAGGGATGAGCAAATCAGTGATTTCAATTAGTGGGCAATAATATTTGTATTGGATATATGAACATTTTGGTAAGGTAATAGAGCACATCCTATCTGTAGCAGATCTCTGCACCCTATCTAGAAACCTTCTGCTATAGATTTTCTTTTCTCCGGGAAGTTTTTCTCTTTTAAATTCGAGTAAAGCAGAACAAATTCTCTCATGTTGTCTGTGATCTCAATCTCCGACTCAGCACAGATACATAACACTGCCTAATGAAGGAAAAACAAGGAGCATTTGATTAAATGTTTGATCTCTGGAGGAATGCGCAGGCTCTGTGGGGTACTGTGCACCACTCACAAGCGTTTTGTGTTTCATTATTGATGAAAAGTGATTAAAATGAATAATTGGTTCAATTGATTAAAAATATTTTCCTCTGAGCCAACCCTGAAAGTGTATTAGATCGCTTTATTTTCAGGGAATCTTGGGATTTACTAGGTAGAGAGCTGCTTCTGGGACGGGACCTGCTCACAAGTAATTGCCATTGCAGGGGCAGAACCTGCTTTGCAGCAGAGCTATCCCTGACTTCAGAGGACTGAAGTGACCACCTCACCCTCTGTTTTATATATACTGTTTAGAAATAGGCATGACATTAACTGAAACTCTCAGGACATCGTGTTCCTTTACCTCACAGCGTCTAGAGTCAGAACAAAGCCAACGGAACGTGTTTCTAAATCTGAAGTGCAACATCTTCCATTCATATGTTATTAGTCAAAAGGTAGATAATAGGTTCATATGCTCATGCTGGGGCATCATCAGAGTGTTGGTAATGACTAGGTTTCAATTAAAGCAAAAGCGCCTGTCTTTGCAAGGAGGGACAGGTTTCTTCAAAGAAACTAAACAGAATGATGACTGCATGGTCATATAAAAAATGGAACAGAATGGAAAAAGCCTTTAATATTATCCCATCTGCATTAACAGAAAGACTGGGGTGACAATCTGGCTGTGGATACCTGATGCAAAGAAAGTGGGTGGCCTGCAGCACCCGTCCCCTTCTCGAACCACTGTGAAACCAAATCACGGAGCCTTCACTCTGCATCCGCAGGGCGCCCGCGATGCCGCTTCCCCAGAAAGGACAAAGGCTCGGGAACGGCCAAGGCCACCACGTTAAACTTCTCTCCAGCAACTTGTCATGAGAGTTTCTCGGGGAATAAAGTGCGAATGGAGCTGGAGACAGTGATAAATTTCCCTTCTGTGCAATCAATAAAATTCTCTCAGTCCTGCTCAGGCTCCTACCGCGGACGCAAGGGCCATAATTACATTGTCAAAAATTCGAGTTGCCCCAACTGACTGAAACCCCCGTTAAAAGTGACGGGTGATTGACGGGCAGTTTATGGGTGGCACGCTCTGACTGGCAGGGGAGTTGGCTAAAGCCAAAGGCAACAGTGAAATTTCCCAGCCGGCTACAACCGCGGGAGCAAAGGACTGCCACTCATGAGGGAATTGTGGGAAACCCTTAGTCATATTAACATATCAAAGCAAGGAGCTGACAGCACTCCCTAAACAATCGGAGCTCAACCGTAGCTGAAGAACATTGCCCAAACTTCCCCCGTCTCAAAGAGAAAAGCAATTGAAATGCACTCGATCCTGTCTTCACTGAGACAGCTAAGAATTTGAAAGCATGCTTATTTAATGATTTTGAGCTGTGATAACGTGTGTGTCTGTGTATGTATACGTATATTATATATAAATATATATGAAAGGGACTGACATGCTCAACAATTTGTTCTATACCACAGACCAGACTGGCACTAAATTGGAACCAGAGTAACATATTTCTGTTTGATGAGAGCAATATGCATCCAGCAAAAGTGCATGCTTCTTCCGGCCTTATTTTCTATGGGGTTTGTACCGTTTCAGTGCTGAATTCGGGATTACATGGTTTGAATAAAATCTTAATCACAGCCATGCACTGGGTGTGTATGTTGGCTGCACTTAAGAGCAACTTCATAGCAAGTCTAGATTTTTTTGCATGGGTGATAAGAAACTAAAGCCAAAAGATGTCTTCATTAATGCACCAGCCCTCCTATGGCTTCATATTCTGCCTTCAAGTTAATGCCTTGAAGCCTTTGAACTCCTTGATTCTGGATACACCAGCACTAGTGTGAGTTTGGAAAGGGGTTTGGAAACGGTAAGTCCCAGTCCTTAACAACACCATTCTCATAGATTTTACCAAATCCTTTCCGACTTTGCACAGTGCTTGCTTCAAACCAGCTGGGTTTGCAGCAGCTGGACAATATCAATGAAAGCTTGAGTTTATTAAGTTTGGCCACGGAATATCAGGCTTACCTACAGACATAACCATCTTACTTCCTTCAGGAAAGAAATATCACTGGAAATTATGATCCTGAATAAAATGTAAGGAATAACCCCAAGAAATCTCTTGAGGGTACTAACATGGACACCCAGGTTTACTCCCCTCTATCACATTTCCAGGAGAACCCCATCAGGATTACTTATGCCACAGGTTCAGAAATGAAATGAGAAGCACCACAGTACACCTGGAAACAAGTAAATGCTATTGAATTTTCCCATTCTACTTAAACAAAAACAAAAAACAAAAACAAAAAAAGAATTAAGTCGAGACTTTTGTTTTGCTCTAAAGTTCTGACAGTTAAAGGAAATATGTCCTAACATTTTTACAGCAATGAAATGGGAAATGGAAGGATCCTTAACATAGCTGGAGAAGACACATAAAGAAAAGTAGCGAAAGCTGATATCAGACAAATCCAAATCAGATATTTAAATGCTTTTTGTAATAAAGAGGACCTTCCCCATCCTCCACTGACTGACCTCCTGCTTCAGCAGAGCATCTGTCCATAGACTCCCCTCCAACCACTGGCCTCCCCTGACCTTGGCAGAGCACGTGTGTGTGGACGGGATTATCGTGCAGCACTGCAGCTTGTTCCCTCCAATTGGACCCCTCAGTGTCTTACATGATTTTTGACCCAGAGCCATACACGTCAGTAATGCTCAGATAGCAACATTTCCGCCTCCAGGCCACAAGGCTGTAAGTTCAAGCGCTGCTGGAGGGTACAAAGTGCCTTCTAGCATGAAGGTTGACATGCAAGAATGTAGAGGAGGGAGAGGAGGGACATGTGCTGACTTTTCTCCTTCTAAAACATATATTGCTTTTAGAAAAAGCACACTAATAGCATCTTGACATGATGCTTTTTACTCATATTCTGATTCACGTTGAGCTTGGACTTGAAATCCACATCCAACCTTCTGCAACCATTTTGTACCTCTCGTTCACAGCCATCCAAAAAGCTCTATCTACAAAGTCCTCTGCTCCATAAAATAGGGTAAAATTTGTGCAAACCCATAGCCAGTTCTCTCTTTTTTTTTCCCCTTGTCTCTTCCACACTCTAGGATCATACAACTCTAGTGCTGTAGGAGTTTCATTGAAAGAATGCCTCCTGGTTACAGCAGAGAACTGGGCATCTTGGATGGAAATCATTGGCATTACCACCAACTTTCTGCATAGCCCTGGGCCCGTCATTTCTGGGAAGGATGTGTGCTGAGCAGAAGTGTCTGTGTGGACCGCCAGGAAATCAGAGGTGCCAGCTGTGCTGCTAATGCTAGAGAGGGACCGCAGGCACAAGGGGAGGCCAGCTCAGCATGGAGAGATGGATGAGAATGGGAAAATACGCTGCCAGGAGCATTTGCTGCTGCTTTGAAGTAGCATCCACACCCCAGCTGCACAAGCTGCTGACTGGTGCACTGACCTGGCCACAGGACCTGTGTGACAGACCAACAAGACCCCTCAGAAACACCAGGACCTCTCCAAACAATTTAGCTGTCTGTGGAGTAACCTTGCAAATTGTTGCATGGAAATATGAGGGCAAAAGGACATCTCATTTCAGTAGAAGTGCAAACCCACCTTATACACAACAGACCTAAAGATTAGCTTCCAAAGGATGAAGACCTTGATTTGTGGCATGAGCAAAGCCAGCCATCCTCTAGGTAATTAAATGATTGCCAGGGTTTCATAGCTACTGCATACAATCTAGCTGCTTCTTAGGGATCAGATTTTCAGAATGACTCAGCTCCCAGTATAGGAGCTCTTATAGGAGCACAGTATTGAGCTTTGGTACTTAAAATACTGTGACAATAGGAGTCTGACACAAAATTTAAAAATATGAAAATTCTAGTCCACAGATTAAAGTCAACATGCAGTTAACTGCTTTTAGAAAAGAAAATTAATAGGCAAGCTTTTTTTCCCCTTCTGAACGGTTCTGTAGATATATATTTTTTTATTTTACATTTTTTTAAATGGTGCTTTGCTTTGCTTTTAAAGAGAAGAAAAACAGGTACTCACCATGCATGGAAAGGGTCCCATTCCTTACTGCCAGGAACTTGATCCCATATGGAAATATTGGTGAAGAATGGATGCTTCCGTACAGATAGATGTGTGCTTTGTGATGGAAAGGGGCCTTAGAAGATCCCACATGGAGTTCTCCTCCATCAGATATCAGGATGTAATGAGCATGTAGTTCTACAGGTCCTGGACCAGTAAAAACAAGTTTACCACCTAAAGACAACAGAAAAGCAAAATGAAATTGTTTGGTCTCATGGCTAGTCATCTCATGGTCAAGGAGCTTAAGAGCTAGGTAAAAAACAAAAGGGTCTTGCAAAGATATTATCTGATTACGGTAAAGTCATGTTGTTTCCTGCAGAAATTGAAGCTAGCCTGTAGACTTACCAGCTTTTAATGGCATAAACATTTTCATAGGAAAGATCTTATTAATTCAGCTCATTTTTCAGCCCTACCACAGTCAGACAGAATCTTCTAGACTTGAAAAAGTCCATTCAGCCTGGATAGACATCTGATTTTCTCTAATTCCTGTACAAGTGAGCTGTGTTTGGAAAATCCATCTTAATCTATTCACACTCCAATTGTTAGAAGGGAATAATACTACTTATTACTTTGCATGTATAACTTTTTGGATTACAATCCATTTGCGACATGAAGCAGGGAAAGGAGAAGAGCTTTGGAACATAGGAACTGGCAACTTGTTTTGATCAGTGGTTGATTTAAGCTTGCATACTTCTTCCAACCACTCTTCAAAACCAGATGCTTAAAAATACAAGAAAATTTTCCTTGGTAGCTGCATGTGAGATGATCTTCCCAACCCAAGAAACCCTCATTTTAAACTTCAATTAGAGGTTAGCTTTGCCCTGAAGCTCAGGGTTTTATCTCCCTGCCAGCGCTTTCTTTCCACCATCTATTGGTGTATAACACATTAGGCTTTGCTAATAATACCAACTTGATCCTTGTTCAAATCTTTCTAATACTGGGTCTCAATGACTTCTTGAAGCAATGAATTCTGTGGTCTGACTGCATAGTGTATTAAAAAAAAGGCATTCCCATCCCTTGTTTTTGACTAGTTCTCTACCAAATGTCTCCTTTGCTCTTGCCTGCTGTAAGCAGCAATCCCATTCTGCCATCTCATGATGGTTAACATCCTTTTCTCCTTATATATTTTCCCTTTTCTCTCCTATGAAGGAAACTGTTGTTATAGTGTATTTTCAGAGCGGGTTGTCAGGCAATCATTCTGCATTTAGGATATGCCATCTCAGGACAAGTCACACTTCCCTGGAGCTAGCCAGGAAATGAAGGTTCCTAGAAAGATTTGACTTCTGCTTTAATTTCAATATCGAGACAAAGACTGAGGGGGGATATTTTAGAATACGAGTCAGATAAAAATATTTCTTTATTATGACCCCCTTGCATGAAGTTCCACTTCTCATAACAATGTGGGAACTGCATAGCACTTCTATGCCTTTCCCATATAGTGGCATCCAGACCAACAGAAAACATTTTGCCTTGCCAGATTTCCCTATTTAATCTTGCACTTTACTATTTATTATTTACAAGACATATTCTCCATAACGTATTTTGCCTATCATATAGGCATATCATATACCTGTATGAATTGGTCATTTATGGATTCAACCAGCTGTAACATTTAACTTCATCTAGTTCTCTATTTCAGTCTGTGGTTGATATGAGACTAACCAGACAATAATTTGATCTTTACCTGTCTGGATCCTGGCACAAAATATACTGCTGTCTGTAATTTTCCATGTATCCCAAAATGCACAGAAAATTAATATTTATAGAAAACTGAACTCATCTATCAACAATTTTATTTTTTTTTAAATGAAACTTGACCTGTTGATCTACGAATATGTATTTCTGAAAGATATTAATTAACATCATCTTCCATAACAAATAGGATACTGGTCCATCTTCCTCTTGAGATATAATTTACCATTCTGTGTCTTCCCTCCTTGTGAAGAGAAATATTTATTAAATATGTTTGCCTTATAGCAGCAGTGTTAATTTTATCACTGCAATCTAGAAATGAAGCTATAAATCACTGAGATTTATTTTTCTCTTAATATTACAAAAAGCAATCTTCCCCACGGTCTTATTGACTTTCTGTGCTTTATTCCCTCTGAAATAAAATCATTGCTGTTTCCACTTCTCCTCATATGATTTTTAATGAATATTCTAATTGTGCCATGCTACACCACTGAACCAGGGCTATTAGCAAAAGTTGTGCTGTCTTTGACTCAAAAATCATAAATCTTGTCTGCCTCCAACATGTTCCCCCAAAGATTTTCCAAATTTCAGTCACATTTTGACCATCCACAATATTCAATTTGTCTCCAAGATAGGTCACAAATGCTAAACTCCTCCCACAAACTCTTGTATCTCCTCCCCATGGGATTACAGGAATGGGGGCATCTCTCTCACAAGACTTTCCAGAATCTTTTCCTGTTTGCAGCCTTCCCACGTATCTCAAGGCAGCCATGGGAAGATCCACCATGAGCAGTGCTGAGCAATACAGTGCAGCCCACATCAGAGCCATGCATTGCTGCAAGTGATAAAAATCATTTCACTCTTCTAAAAAACTATCAAGAAGCAAGGGGAAGCCACTCATACATTTGCTGCAAAAAGCAGACACATCTTGACAAACAAAAGCTAATTCTTTTGTAATGAATATTAGTATCTTCACTGTCTCTTGTGCATTTTTCTGTGCAAGGCAGTTTTGTCGAATCAAGCATAGCCCATCTTCCTATATAGAATCATAGAATGCTTAAGGTTGCAAGGGACCTCCAGAGGTCATCTAGTCCAACCCTTCTGCACCCACATGCCCAGCGCTCTAGAGTAATTTTTCCTATATTGATTCAAAGATTTCCCACATCAACTGTGATTTATGAGATGGTTTCTCTGTCTCTAAATACAATGACAACCCTAAGCACATTTGGAAGTGACACAAAAACTTGGAAATCTTCCACCTGAAGAAATTTGATGTGTGTGATGTTTAGGCTTTCCCTTACAAGCAGCAGACAAACATAGCATGGAAGCACTACACACTCTCTATAGGAACCAAATATATCGGTTATATACATAGTGGCATTGTAATATCATTGCACTCTGGCTATTTGCAAAATTTCTGGATTTTTCCAGAGCAAAGTAAAAAGAAAATGGATCTTCAGAAGCAAAACATAAACAGAAAAAGCCCAACTGAAAGCTAAAAATCAGCATCACAGAAGAGAAAAGTAAGCATTAGCAGGTAGCTTCTTGGTCATTAGACAATCTAAGTACTGAAAAAAAATCCTCTAGTCAAACTTACAAACACTTATGCCCCAAATTTTTATAGGGCCCCTCTAACCATCATCTCTTTTTAATTCTGTTGTTTTCATTGGATCAGAATAAATATACAGCTGCTGCTCTACAATGCTATCTTCCTTTTTCCTAAAAAGAAAATAAAAGTTTTTCTTCCCTTTTTTATTGCACTTGACCCCTTCTCTTGAAGGCAGAAAGCAAGAATATTGCACAGCTGAGCCTTTGGCTGTGACCCTCAAATTGTTTGTTATGGCTACACAGGAAAGCAAAGTCCTACATATGACCTTGGGGGTGATTTTATAAAAATCAATCAACCACTGTTAGGATGGCCTCCCCACCAACTAAAATAAATACAATTACACTCATAATCACTTCTGTACAGTAATGTGCTAATTCAATGGGCCTCTTTAGGTGGAGTGAGGGGGAGGAAGGGGAAGAAAAATGTTGAGGTTATTTGATACTTTGTGAGAACATCAGAAGCACCATTCTTCTCAATTAACCCAGCAATTAGCCTCCACCTCTCTGCCAGGAAAAGAAATGTTTCTTTATCTGTCTTTACACACACACCAAAAAAAAAAAAAAAAAAAAAAAAAGAAAGAGAGAAAAAAACTAAACTGTTGCCAACTCCATCTCTCCCAAAGGAGTGGAGAAATAGCCAGGCTGAAAAAAAAATATGCAGAATATTAGAGAAAACAAACGTGATAATAAGGTGTGTGGATAGTGCACCAGCATGGTCATAGCCAACAGGTTTTGTGATGAGACATTTTCTGTCCTTGATCCTTGGGAAATGATGATGAGCACACTCAAAAAGGAGTGGGAAGATAACAAGTCACTACTTCATTCTGTTAGGAGCCCTTGACTGGCTCTCATGCAGTGTCAAAATGTATTAGTTAGACACAGTTTTCATTCCCCAGAGTCTTTATCCTGGAAAAAGGCTGTGCCTCACACTTTGGGAAAAATAAATAAATAAATAAATAAATAAATAAATAAATGGAAATATTCATGGGACTGGGCTTTGTAGGACTAACATGAAAAGTTTCTCCTTGCCACTGTGATACTGAGATGGTTTTACACTTTCATACATAGGGACATCTCAAAACTTCTTTTTTTCTTTAATGTTTCTAATATAGACATTTTTGGAATGCATAAAAGTGATGCTGATTTTCTCATTATTATGTAGATTGTGATTTAGAACACTCCAGAGATTTCCTGAACTCGGAGGGAAGCAAAATCCCATATGCAAAGAGCACCTTTTACTTTGAGGGTTTTTTTATTATTATCTTTTGAGGCAACACTTTAGCATTCATCATTGATTTAAGTCCATCCTGAGGAATAGTCTAATTTTTCTAACGAACAGCTCGTTAGAGAGCTAGGATAAAAGTGACTATCACCAGATTTAATTCCACTCTGTTATTCAAAGTATTAAAGCAAGAAAACTTCAAGCAAGGTTCTGGATAGTCTTGGGAGATCCTCTTTTTAATCAATAATAGGAGTTGTTAGGAGATTACTTAACGGAAGAATTGTCTTGCATATCTTTGTGTCACACCCCTTTAACTAAAAGTAACTCCTGGCTGTGGAAAAGCACTTGCTGATGGAAAGATCATCTCTTCCAGAAGACTAGTCTCAGCCATCATTGCTTGCACAAGGAAGGTGGTGCTGTAGGTCTGCTATGGCCACATATAATTAATATTCTCACAGACTTCAGCTTGCTCTTCCCAGTTTCTCTTGCATGATGAACCTACAGAATCCCCCGTGATCCAGGCTCAGTCTCACAAGTTTTATTGCTTCAAGTATCCCAGAGTGGCAAACAGCAGGAGGCAACAGCTGGAGCTGGGATGTCTTTATGAAACCACTGGTCCTGCACAGGGCGGCAATGTGCCCTATTATCGCCT